CTTCTTAGGGTTTTTGTTTCAAAGGCATGTTATTATTTCTGGATAGTTCATGAATCAGGAAGTGCTAGTGGTCCAAGAAACGTCCTGCAAGTGTGGCCTGTGCTGCAGGAAAGTGTGAACAACAGTGATTTTTGATTTGTCTGTCTGCATGCTCTTCAGGTTTGACCCGTCTCAATAGGTGTCAGTTGTCTTTCCAGAAGGATGTACGAGTTTTTAGCTGAAATAGGAACAAAGTGATGTTGTCTCTGAATGCTTAATTTAATGTGTCTGTTTCTGAATATAGAAATAAGCCGCAAATTCTGCACAGACCCATTAAAATGTTCTCCATAAGAATATGGTTTAAAAGTTATTTTAATAAGCTACTGAAATTTCCAGTTTCAAAAGTTGTGGTAAGATAATTTCTGAGGGTTTAAATAGCAGTGAGTATAGGAAGTCTTGGCAGCTGTTTTCTAGTTCTTTAAAATCTTTAGTATCTGCAAAGAGATTATGTTCTGGTTGATGTACCTAAAAATCCTGTAAATTGTTTGTGGTGCTTGAATCTTAGAACGATAATGGCATGAAGTATGGGGTATTAATTCTACTTGTCAGTGGTCCATGTTATAGACTGTTCAGCGAATAACATCTTTGTGTCCTAGATGACGAATATGTTAGCCAAACTGTTAGACAAATGATACCCTTCTAATACCTAGTGCTTAATGGGCAATTTACTTTCAGATAGTTGACACTACTTTAGTGGGTTTTTTCTTTTGTTATATGGAAAAGCTTTGGTGCACCTGTGTGTTTTTTGTTTGTTTGTTTGTTTCCCCTCCACTGGCTTGTTTTTTTTTTTTTCTTTAATTTAGATTCCTCTATACAGAAGAGGTCTTAAAATATTATTGAATAATACAGAAACTTTGCAGTTATGATCTCAAATTAGTTATTGCAGAGTGGGCAGTTTTATTTTAAATGAAAGATTTATTAGGCATTTGGTGAAATCACCAAATCAACAATGATTTAATAGGTTGATTTTTTCAGCATTAACAGGAAACATTTGTATTTTTTTTTAAATGTATCTGCTTATGAGGTTCATTTTTAATGTAAATTCCACTGAAGAGTGTTTTTTTTTCTTTTTTTCTTTTTTCAGGAAATACAGGACATGCTGTTGATATGAACATATTTTTGGATGATCCAGAGTTTGCGGAAATTGTTCAGAGAGCTGAACAAGCTATAGAGTGTGGAGTTTTTCCAGAAAGAATCTCTCAAGGGTCCAGTGGAAGTTACTTTGTCAAGGATCCAAAGGGGGTGAGCATATTATTATGTAATCAAGCACTATCAATGCTATCAACAATTAGTTTAAAAGGTGAAAAACCGTTAAAATATCTTTTGATAATTTATTGTATGCTAAAATCATTGTCAGATAGGTTTGGGGAGAGAATCTTTCTTTCTGAAGTCGGAAAGAAAAAATCAACTTATTTCTTTAGGGTTCTTGTATACAATGATATGAACATGAAGCCTCTGTTTAGATTTCAGCAGGCTTTAATTTCTGATCCATTCCTTACTTCAGTTTTTATATTTTTGTGCATTTATTCAAACTTGATACTGCTTTTAAAGTGGAAGATTAAAAGAAGATTGTATCTTATTTGATTAACACAATGGAAATGTGCTGGGCAAGTATGGCCAAATATTTGTGTAAATCAATGCTTCACAATGCATCAAATGTATGACTTGTGTATTTTGTGGAGTTATGCTAAGAATACTTTAAAACTGAGTGATTGTTCAAGGCTTTCTTTTGCTAATGTGTGCAGTCAAGATGTTTTATGCTTGAAAAATAGTGAGTGGAGAAATCACTAGCCAAAAAAATAATGTTTGTTCTAGGTTTATGTGTTTGCAAATCAGCATTGTCTAATGACATATTTCAGTTGTGTTTGATGGCTAACAATGACTTGCTGTGTCCTGTGGTTGGTAGGAGCATATACACCACTTTCTTAACTGCAGTAGTTAATTTTACTTTTGTTTTGCATTGAAAGCTGTAGTGCTGTTTTAGTTCCCATCTGGGTTTCTAGAAATTCTTATTGTTGCTGTTCCCTTTTCCGCCCTTACATATGCAGGTCCTACTTGAACGTAAGACTAAAGAACAGTGTTTTTTTTTTTTCTTTTTTTTTAATAGGCCATAAAAGTAATTTCATTGCAAAATATGAATGTGTTTGTCAGCAGGAGACTGCAGGAATACTAAATTCTTTCTTTCAATATTCCGTTATTATTTGTGCTAAATGTAGAGGTTATCTTGGTTGATTATTCCTTTTAAAGTTCTAGTAAACTTTGTTTGTCAACAGTGAAACTCTTGTTTGTAAAATGGGTCTTGCATGCTGCTGGAGATCAGCTCCCGAGTATTGCATCATTCTCCCTAAGACCAGTTTTGTGACTTGCTTTCTCCTGCTCTCCTTCTTGTGCAATCTCCTCCTACCTGAGAAAGAGCTTATTAAAAATGTTTAGCTCTCTTTCTTGTTAGCTACCGAAGTGTTTACCAGAACTAATACTACGTCTAGCTACAAGTTAAGCAAAATATAGCTGGCTCTTCTATGAGGTCTAGGTCTCTCTGGTTCTGCCAGAAAGACAAAAGTCAAGCTGTCTAAATAAAATTACCTTTGCACATGTATTTCCCTTACTTGGATGAGCATTTCTGTGTTTGCTGTTTGCTACTTAGCCAGGTAAAAGCCATTACCAAGCTCTTCTGCAATATCTCTTTGAGAGTTCAGCCGCTGACTAACTGGTAATGCTGATGGAGCCAGTTAATTTTGCCTTGCAAAGTTAGGACTGGCCTCATAGGTTGTCTGCACACAGAGCTGCCCATTCTACATCAGGCTTTAATTTCAATGGTGCTACAAAATTTAGTACCAAGTATACTATTGCGTTTTGAGGGAAACCAGAAGCCGCTAGCTTTGTTTAGAGCAGCACTGTGTGAGTCAGTAGATTCAATTAAATAACTTTAATGATTCTAAACTAGTGTTGGAACTTTGACCAAAGAAGTATACCAAATAAACCCAATGTACTGCGAATTTTCCAAACAGCTGATTCAGTAATATATTCAACAGGCATTAGTGTGCATTCCAAATTGTCATCTTACATGAAACATTTATTGTAAGCATATAGGTGTTTTGTAGAGATCTGAATTGACTGTGCTTGTGCATACTTACCTGGGATTTGGAGCGTAAGCTTAGAGTCTTGGATAATGGCATCCTGAAATCTGAGTTCAAAGGATATAAATGTCATCTTATTTCTTTCTGCTGTTGATCGGAAAGTTAGTTTGTAGGATGAATGCAAATAATTCATAACTTATTTCTCTCGTTAATTGGTTTAAAAAAAATCAAAATAGGTGAGATAGGTGGTGCTATTGATGTCCATCTTGTGAACTCTGTTTAGAAACTGAATGAAAGAAACTCCTTGTAGTTAGCATGCCTTGCAAGAGCAAGGTTAAAAGGAGATGAAAGCTTGCTGGAATGTGGGGAATTAGTCTCAAGGTAAACCAGCACTTGCAGAAGGAGGATGATACTTTGGTTGCCAGGAATCTTGTTCATGACTTATCTTACCTGTTTGGTGTAAAATAGCTGTGAGGCTGGTAGTGCAACGATGGACTAATGTCTATCTATGTGCAGGGGAGGTTGGACTACAAGATCTCTAAAGGTCCCTTCCAACCTTAAGGATTCTATGACAGTTTTGGCTTATTGAGGAATCCAGCTGTAGTTAGGACTTCAGGAGAGAACTAGTATGTGAAAATGTTTTCTGAACAGATGTGTCTGAGTGTTTGAGATATGAATTTGACTTACCACAGCTCTTAGAAGGAATAAAGATGCACCAGTTCTAAATGTGAGCTGTAGAAATGGCGTTATGTGGCTTTGATGCATTAGGCTCAAGTGTGTCACAGCTACTCGGAAGGTTATGTGTTTTAGTGCAATAGCAGTGCTGGGGTTTGAGGCTAACATGCAGACTTATGCAGGAGGCAAGCTTAGTACCTCTCTCCTAGAACAGGAACATCTTGGGTGATTCCTGATGAACGTCTGACTAACCCGTTCTTGGCAACATCCTGTCCTGGACACTCCGCAACCAGGCAGTGCATTCCAGTGTTTAGCTACTCTTCATGTGCAAAGGATTTTCCTTGCATCTTATCTGCTAGGATTCAAGGCTATCATTTATCATCACTTTTGTAGCAGATGTTGTTGTTGTTCTCTCTACAATGAGAGGCTTCTGGGTTTCGTGTCACCTTTTACTGAGTCCGAGGCTAATCAATCCCAGTTCATGCAGTGTTTCATTACTTGTGTTTTTCTAGTTATTTTCCCTGTTTTTCAACCTTCTCCTGTTCCTTTCTCCTCTGCTTTATTGGAGTACCCCAAACTGGATGCAGTACTCTTGAGTTGTATTAAATTTTGCTGTATCTCTCCAAAGTAAAATATGACTGATAGTGTGAAGCATTGTCAGCTTTGCTCTGAGCTTTGCTGTACTACAGCTGTAAAAGATGGTGCTGATCTCTGGAATTGCCATCAAATAATGGAAGAATTACTCTGCAATATATTTTATCTAAAAGCAATAAATAAAACGGATATAAAATATTAGATGTAGTGTATTATTAACACACTGTGTATTTATCACTTTCCTAAAAACATTGTATCTTTCTCTGGAATATCAATGAACCATCAGGGATCCTGCAACCTGTAAACTACTGTTAAAAACTCTTTTTAGGTAGCAAAAATTGACAGTTCTTTTTAATTTTGAAAAGTTAGTAAATGTTAGATCTACTTTAGGTTTTCTGTTATGAAGAGTTTGTTTAAAATTTGTGCTGCCTCTGTACAAGCATTTGATGATAAAATTATTTGGGATGCTGTTTTGGTATTTCTAGTTTTACTATTTCATCACCTGAAAAGAGCAAATTATAAAATGCAGTGTATAATATTTGAATTCTTTTTGAAAATTAGTTATTTGAAAGTATTAATATTTTACAATTTTAGTATTTGTACTTAAATTTTATATTGCATACCTTAGAAAAGCATTGGAGTGTTCAAACCAAAATCTGAAGAGCCTTATGGACATCTAAATCCAAAGTGGACCAAATATTTTCACAAGATTTGTTGTCCTTGCTGCTTTGGCAGAGGCTGCCTCGTTCCAAATCAGGGATATCTCTCTGAAGCTGGTGCCTATCTTGTGGATGACAAGCTGGGGCTAGGAGTTGTACCTAAAACTAAGGTAAAGTTAAGTTGTGTAAGTTACTAGAATGTGAAAAATACACAACCACAGGCTTGTCTTTCTCTGGATTGTGGTTGTAAAGACATCATTATATATCATGTAATAGCTCTATATCATTTCTAAACTATTGCAAGTGCTAAGGTACTGTGGTTTGGCATGGTGTGAGATTCTGTTGTAACAAGTAAGTTTAGGTCTGAAGAGATTTTTTTCTTTTCTTTATTGAGTAACTGTTCTAGCACTTTCTGGTGCTTTCATGCTTGATGTTTTGGTGAAGGCCATGAAGATTGCAAAAAGCAGAAGATAAAGATACCCGGTTAAGTATTTTAATCAAAAATTTCTGTTCAGGCTACACAAAACAACATGTGTTTATCTTTTCCTGTGAAGTTTTTCTATACAGGAAAAACAAAAAGATACTTTTTTTTTTTTTTTTGCATTTTTGGTAGGTAAGCATAAAACTTGCTGTAAAGCTATAATTAAAATAAGCAGATTTTAGCTATATTTTAACTTTTATATCTTAAGGTTGTCTGGCTTGTCAGTGAGACCTTTAACTACAGTGCAATAGATCGTGCAAAGTCAAGAGGAAAAAAATATGCTTTAGAAAAAGTGCCAAAAGTTGCTAAAAAATTTAATCGAATTGGACTACCTCCTAAGGTAAGCCTAAGAAGTCATTTATGCATTTTCTTCTCTTTCCATAAATGATGGACTCGGAAGCAGAAGTGGCTTTGTAGCCACTTGTATCCATTTGCAATCTTACTTTCTTCTGGAGAAGTAACAATTTAAAATGTTTACCTTTTCCGCCTCCCCTCTTTGACTATTTTTCCCATGTTTGGTTGGTTGTCTGCATTTTGTTCCTGTTAATTCAAAGAGTGTTTAAACAATGTTTAATTTAAAACTTAAAGAAAAATCTGAAGAATGTTTTCTTTTTTAAGAAAAAGGAAGTTTTGAGTCTGTAGCTTTTTTAAGGATTTAGAGTGAAAGAAAAAACACTTAGTCATCTTACTGTTGTAGGTAGCCCTTGTCAAATGGCTCTGTGTCATATTGCCTGTGTTCAGAACTTGAGTATCTTTTTTTTTTCTTTTCTTTTTTCAGTTAATATTAAAATTATTTAAATGACCTACAGAAGTGTGTTTCCTAAATCATTTTTTTAATGTTTCAGGTTGGCTCCTTCCAGCTGTTTGTTGAAGGGTATAAGGAAGCTGACTACTGGCTCAGGAAGTTTGAAACTGATCCTCTACCTGAAAATACGAGGAAAGAATTTCAGTCACAGTTTGAGAGATTGGTTATCTTGGATTATGTCATCAGAAATACAGGTATCTGTCGCAGTGTCCCTTGGTGCCTCCCTACTCTCTTGAGGCAGTGCTGGTTGATGGTTGCATTTCGCATCCTTTCTCCCCTCACATACAACTAAAGGTCAGAATGTTGCTTACAAACTCAACAAAATCTATTTTGGATTCAAACATTGAAATTACCATATGTGATAAGATCCAAGCAACACTTTTTGGTGGTTACTTGATAGTTTTAAGCAACACAGGAACCTGAAAACGAATGCTTTTTGTTGTCCTTTGCAGTGTGTCTGTGGACTGTAGCTGCCTGCTTCTCTTCCTCAAAAGAGTGTACAAGGGATGCTGGGGTCTCAGGGGCCGTAAGAGAAACCACAGCTAAACTGGAGCCTAACAACAACCACCCACCTCTGCATGAGTGCAAAATAACTTTTTACATGTATTATGATGTACATCTCTCAGTTCCCCTGCATTCCTTCACTTGGATGTTGGATGTCTTCTATTGGCTATGTGGGTGGTTTGTTTCCTCGGGGATCTAAAGAATATTTTATCTAAATAAAATAAAATTTTATTCTTTGCTCCTTTTGTCAGAGGTGGCATCTTCACTGTTCTTAGGTATACTAGCTCAAGTTTATTTTCCTTTTCTTAAATTCAGTTACTAGAAAGGAACCCAGCTGAAGATAAGTCACCATAACCTCTTTTTAGCAACAGTCTGAAATAAGTTAGCTTGATGAGAAGGACATGGTGCTTTTTTGCTGCTGCTGTGATCTGTCAGCTCTAAGAGAGCCAAGTGCTCCAAAACAACTTGCTGTGGAACAAGACCAAAACTGTTTCCTATGACTTGTGGAGAAGATAACTTAAAATGGAAGAATTCACTATGTGGGTGGTGATTTACATTAATTCAATATATCTAATCATGTAGAATACAAAAAGAGTTCTGAAAGTAGATGCTTAACTAAACTTAAGGAAGATCCTCTGAAAGCCTTAATCACCTCAATTCCTTCTGAATGGTGAAGATAACCTTTTCAGAAACTGAAGATGACCTCTTTGAAGATGGAGGGGAAACAAAAAACATTTCCGTTTTCTTCAAATCTCATGCCTCATACAATTTTAAAGGGCTTTTCTTTTTCCCCACCAGCATTAATATAGAAGCTTAAAACTTAAGTCGTCTTGGCTGCTGATAATGTTCTTTTTTGCAGGAAAAATGCACTCTGCAAGTGGTCTTTCTGCATCAGTGAATCAAAATAGTTTCTTTTAGGTTTCTTGGTATTTTTATTGTATTCATCCAGTGGGAGAAACTAAAAATAATATGTAGTTAAATCTGTGATACACTCTCAGTCTTTTCAGTAGATCAACTTTTAAAAATCCTTCAGTAAAGTGCAAATATATATATATGTGTATATATATATATATACACACACACTTTTTTGGAGTGTCCAAGTTTGTAAACACTTAGCCTGACTATTGATAAATTCTCAATTAATGTTGCAAATTGCTGCATGCCATGTTAGATGACTAATTCTTAAGTAACTTGTGACATGCATTTTCCTTTTTAAAGACAGAGGTAATGATAACTGGTTGGTCAGGTATGAAAAACAAGATGGTGGAACTGATCTGTCAGATAAGGTAAGAAGAGTGTATTCTTACACTGTTTACTGTAATAACTTGGTCTTGTGTGGGAGTGAATGGCTTTAATGCTGGTGCACAGTAAAGGAATTTGATACTCCATTATGTTAGGTAAATGCACAGGCTGCTTGGAATAGACTGGTCTGGATAAAATCACACTGGAAGTTATTTGTATTGTTCTATAGCTTTTTTGTTTATTAGACTTATCTATAATAGTAAAATTGTCTGCTGAAAATGCATTCCTTCGGTTATTTCTTGGCTCTTTTTTATATTATATTTGTATTTGGAAAAGAGCTCCTGTTCCTTGATGTTGGAGTAAGAATTGTGAGCTTGAATTTGTTTTACGTGGGTAGTGTCTTTAATGTCTTTCAACTCTTTTGTATGCATGCATATTTCATTTGGACACGTTCTTTCTGCAGGATATCCAATGGACTGTAACTAAAGATCCTATTATTAAAATAGCTGCAATTGACAACGGGTTAGCTTTTCCTTTTAAGCATCCTGATGAGTGGAGAGCGTGTAAGTGACTAATCATCTGTTGGGGAGACTCACTGCTAAATAAATATTCCTGGATGAGGCTTCTGCGAGGAACCTTCCTAACTGGCAGGAAGTGGTTGTGAGGAGCTGGGTTGTTTGGCCTAAGCTCCATCCCCAGGAAGGTTGTGGAGCAAAGCCTGTGGAAAGCCATGCCCAAGTGCGGGCCTCCCTATCCCCTTCTTGTTCTCCATACAGGGATTTACATGGATTGACCAACTGGAGAGCTCTTTGAGAGGACCAGCTCATTTGTGAGGGGAGGGCAGTGGTTATTGTTTCCCTTGACTTTAGCAAGGCCTCCCTTAGAATCCTTGTAGGCAAATGGATGAGATACGGCCTGGAGAAACAGACTGTGAGGTGGGTGGAAAATTGTCTGGGCTGGGCTGTCAGGCTCAAAGCCCAGGAGCAGTACTAGAAAGTTCAAAAGGTGTTTGCCACTGGTCACCTTTACTGGTCTGCCCTGGGCCGGTAGTGTTTCATGCTCTTAACAGCCTGGATGATGTGGGTGCATATTCTCTCAGCCAAGTTACTTTCAACGATCCTTTCTAACCTAAATTACTGTATGGTCCAATGCTAATACTAAATGCTCTTGGGGAAAAATAATAAATGTTTTTCTCCATCTGCTTAGAAGGCATCTTAGGAAACTAAGGATTTAATAAAAGACAGTAGCTACCTGTTTTGCTAATTCTTCAGTATAAGCCATGCTCCTAAAATGTTTTATTTGACAATAGCCATTATTTTACTCCAAGGAAAATTGTATTACTAAGTAAAATAAAGCATTTATCTCTATTTACAGTATTTAATTTGCTTCAAGTAAGTATTTATTACTTAGGATTTTTTTGTTGTTGTTTGGAGGTTAAGAAAAAGGTTAAGTAAGTTGCAAAGCTATTTCTGTAACTGTAGCCAAAAAGAGGATGTGGGAAACAGATGAGCCTTTTTTTTTTTTTTTTTTTTTAAAAAAAAAAAAAAAAGGTATCTGTGCCTGAATGCACCGTAGTATTATATCCAGATAAAACATTTAACTTCTCTTTTTGCTGATCTGTAAATGTAACTGTTTTTCTTTCTTAGATCCCTTTCACTGGGCTTGGCTTTCTCAAGCAAAAGTTCCTTTCTCTCAGGAGACCAGAGATTTGGTTCTTCCTCGAATTTCTGATATGAACTTTGTGCAGGATCTTTGTGAAGATCTTTATGAACTGTTTAAGGTGAATATGTTGCTTCTTTAAATTGAAATTTATTGAAAGAGCTAATAGTTGTAATGGAATAGTTAGAGGTTTGTTCTTTTAATGAATTTAACCTGTATGTCATGATCCTGTGCAATTTTCGATGTAATGCTGACATGGCACAAAGGGTTTATAATTGTGGGAAGCTGTCACTAATGTGACTAATTGATAGTAATCAGCTTACTCAAAACCACAGTTACCTCTTATAAAAGAGTTTTACTTAATGAAAGCTAATTACCTAATAACAAAAATCTTACTAATGTGTCTGGGTGTCATGTGCTCATATGCACATGTGAATGCACACGCGCACACACATTCTTCAAAAACTGTAGCAACCTGAGAAAATCATATTTGTTCTAACCTTAGATACTTCTGTAATTTTCATATCATTAACCTTTTCTGTGCTGACACTAAAATCTTGCGTATTTTATTGAATGAGTTTCCAAATGACAATTTTATCAAATTTACTTTAAATATATGAAAACTGTGCTGCAGTATAGACATGCATGCAAAGGACTGTCTGTTTTGAAACCTCCATAAACAATTATAAGCTTTGGTAGAGATAATTCATAACATATGTAAATGTATCTAGTATTCAAGTTGAATAATCCGAATGGCAAGGGTTGATAGAAATGTTAATTTAAGGCATATAATGAAAATGTGGCTGTATTTGCAATGTTTCAGTAGATCCTGGAAAACGTTCACTAGTATTTACATCTTTGATTCAGTTGTTTTCAAAACAGCTCCACATGGTCTGATAATCACAGCAGAAGTCCATAAATCTGAAGGAGGAAGTACTCCTTCACCTGTAAAGACAGGCTTTGCAAATTGGAGTTGTGCAACATCATATGATGATATCAAGCCTGCCTAGAAATGTTTTAAAGACATATCTGTGGGTTCTCTTTTATGATTATGGTAAATTCTTTATTTTCATATATGCATGTTTGCTGCAGCAAGAGGCCTTTTTTGTGGGTCATACAATGACTATTTGAACCTTTCAGAAATTATTGTAATATTGATACATGTGACCATGTATACTGTGAGCTTGATGAGTTTGCATGTTAAGCATGCAGTTAAAAACAAATACTCATTTCCTATAGTAATAACTGTTTATTTTCTTTACCAAAGACTGATAAAGGGTTTGACAAGGCTACTTTTGAAAATCAAATGTCCGTTATGAGAGGGCAGGTAAGACTGGCTCTTTAAAGTGTTTTTTAGCTGTTCAATACATACTCACTTCTTGTCAGTTTTATTTCAGAGATATAAAAATAACTTGTATTCATTCAACTTGAACTGTGCCAAGTAGCTTTTTTTTTATGATGAAGTAGTTTGCTGCAGGAAGTTTGTTATTTCTCAAAAGGTTTGAGAGGGGGGGAAAAAATGATATGATCAAGAGAAACCAAAAGCCTCTCTCTGAAATAGAGACATGTGGCTGAGGGCGTTTACATTCATTTCCCACTGTAATGGTTAAATCTGGAGCCTTTTTTTTGCTTTAGCATCCCCCCACCCTCTGGGTTTGGATAGAGAGCTCAGTAAAATTTCTCTAGTGGTACAAGAATGTGTCACTGCAGGAGATGTTACGTTCTCAGGCATGGATTAGAAAAAAATGCTGTCAGTTACTCTTGGAAAACCTTAAGAATTAAAAGAATTAAGTATCTAGTTGATTAAATACAAGGAGGCTAAAGAACATTATGTCTTGGGTACTACTGTAAAGGGGAAGATCTTTAAATCCTAGATGCCAAAATTAGTTTTAAAAAAAAAGATTTTTTTGCAAAGTAGGGGAAAACACTTGGGGAGGGCTTCAAACCAACAGGAAAACCATCTACCTCAAGAACATGCAGAGCAATCAACAAGCTAGCACAGGTCTGCAGAAAGCACCTTGGATAATATGAGCATAACATGGAGTTGCCAGAAGAGCCAAACCATGCAGAGGATGTTGTCTGTTAAGGTTATATTAAATCATTATGTTACTAAATAAAATAGTTTTGTTTGAAATAAAATCAATTTAGAAAGTACAGACTGACAAATTATTTAAGAAAGATATTCTAAGAGGGGCATCTAATTTTACAAGCCTATTGACTCCAGCTTAATTGTGCACCTCTCTCTTTTATTCTTTTAGATACTAAACCTTACTCAGGCATTAAAGGATGGGAAGAGTCCTCTCCAGCTTGTTCAGATGCCCCGGGTGATCGTGGAGAGAAGTAGCACTGGAAGTCAGGGCCGAATTGTTCATCTGAGCAACACGTTCACCCAAACCTTTCATAGCAGAAAGCCTTTCTTCTCCTCCTGGTAGCAACAAAGATATGAGAGAAAAGTCAATGTCTCAAATTTAGTAAGCTACTTTTGTGTAAAGGCTCTGCAATAATGTAATTCTGCTGTATGCCAAGAACTCTGGCTGCCAACACCTCAGAACTTAAATATATTTTGAATGTAATCAAAGTTTACATTTTTTGTGTCAAAATTGTGAATTCTTATGTCAGGGAATGAGAAGAACTTGTCTATACTGTATTTTTATAGGCTAAATTAATGTATTCTGAAGAATAATAATAAAGGGAAAATGCACAGTTTGCATATGCTGAAATACTACGTTTGAATACAATAGAAATTCTATTCATTTAATATAAAGATGAGAATCTGTTCCCTATCAGCTTTTTATATGGGCTTTAAAAAGAAGCGTGAGATGTTATCTTTGATTGTGAAAGTGCTTTTCCTTGTAATGTTTTTCTGCTATCTTAATCTATTTATAGGTTTTCATAGGTTAATTACTTGAGGGGAAGCGGGAAGTCATGTCTATAAAAAAAAAAAAATAAAAAATAAAAAAAGAAGTTCTTGACATCCACGTAACAGAATGTGGGGAAGACTTGGTCCAAATGTGGGTGTTTTTGTTTTTAATTTTCCCCCCATCAAAGTGGGGATCAAACTTAGTATTTTCTTAGTTTAAACTATGTCAAAATCCGGCCCCCTGGTAAGTACGTACAGTTCCTACGGTGACTAAATATACTATGTGTATATTTCAGACAATGAAATTTCCTCTGGAGTTTTTTTGACTTACGTATTTAAGTACAGTTATGAGAAAATGTTATGTTTCTTTATGGACCTATCACAAAAGAATAACATTCTTAGAAGTCTGATTTTTGCCATAAGAGTACAAATGTGTGTAACTCATTACTGCTTACCAAAGTGGTTCTTCACTGTTTTTGCCTAAGCACTAAAGTGTTCCTCGCTAAACCAGCCTGCCTTCCACATTCCTATCCACGTGCACCATTGTTTTTCACTAGAGAAGTCTAATACAGAGAGCATAGACTGATGGTTGTATCTGTAGCAGTGTCATGCTCCTCTGCCAATTTTTATTTGCTTTTGTATTTAATGTTATATGGTTAAGACCTTCTGGTCCCTTTGCCAAGTTTGTGGCTTATGAAACATGGTAAATATTTTTATTTTAGCTGTCTTCTGGACTGTTTAAAAATAGGAATGGGAGAAAAACTGCTGCTTTTATGAAACCTTCAGTGTTTGAGACATTGCTGTATTTTGTAATTCTAAGCAATACCCTTGAACTCTAATAAAATGCTTTTATTTTATATAAATTTTGAGTGAATGTAAATGTTAATGTAGCATGTCAGCACTTCACTTGATTAGCTGCAATGTTAATGCCTTAAATGTAAAACTTAATCTACTGTGGGGTTTTACCAGAAGACCGAAGTGACCACCTTTATAAAGTTTCCAGGAGTTGTTTTTTTACCAAAGTTTATTAAAATTCAAAGGTGTTTATGTATTTGGCCTGCCTTCTGAGGACAATAAATGTCATAATCCCAAAGGCAGAGTTTTTAGTTTTGTTTTTTACTTCTCCTTGGCCGCCGGTAGTCCTTAAAGTGCTGGGTTTTTTTCCTTTTTTCCTTGGGCTTTGT